CCACTTTTCAAAGAGGTGTATCTTTGCTCTGGAAACTCTTATTGAGTATGTTAGAGCTGTAATGAAATGCTTCTTCTAAAAAAAAATATATATATATATATTTTTATATACGGTCAGAGAATGAATATATATGGTCAGAGAATAGCTTACAAGCAGGGAAATGTCTTACACTGACATATAGTTAGATTTTAATGGCATTTTGGAACTAATTTGATAGGAAGAAAGAAAAGTAAAACCTAGAGTATTATTAATAGGATTTTCCCTTATCCAAACCTATGGTAAGCCACTACTTACCTCCCTAAGGAGCCCTCTCCTTTCTGGTAACCACCAGAAGGTACAGATGTTTTACTCTAATCTTCTAATCCCATCAAAAAAAAAAAATTTCTCAGAACTATTTCAGTTTAGCTTAATTAAGAATAATGACTATTATACAACACAGAGAATAAATATAAATTTAAGAATACTACAATTGCTGCAGTGAATACAATAATAGGGGATCCTATTTTAAAGCAAGTGTTCAGATCTAAAAAGTCAAAAGTTAGCAACAGAGGCTAAGGTTATAGCTCTTGCCTAAAGTGTGAGGAACTGGGTTTTAATTCTCAGTAACACACACACACACACACACACACACACACACACACACACACATACACACAAATTAAATGAATATAAACAAAATATACTGAACGAGTGTGAAACGAACACTGCACAAAAGGGTTCTCTTTCTTCAGGCATTTTTAATACTCTTATTCTCATGCCTAGGAAATGCTAAAGTTCACAATCCTCTTTGGAGAAGAAAAGGCATAGAAGGAGAAAAGGGAAGATGAAAAGAGAAGTGACTCTTAACTCCACATATACGGCTATATCTACCCAAGTAGACACAGTATAATCTCTAATTATTCAGCTAGTAATCTCCAAGTAACAAAGAACACTCCTAGCTAGTTAAGTTTTATACTTTTCAAGACTAACCCAAAATAAAATAGCATTAACATATACCTATGCATACTCTAACAGCAAAAATAATGTGCTCATCAAGCAGAGTTCTTTCTCTGTGTCTCTGACTAGCTTACCACTAGGTTTACATACTAACTCCGAAGGAAAACAAATTGAACCCCTAGGTAGGCATCTTCATCATTTCTTTAGTTTAAAAGACTGTATTATTTCTTGACAAGGGCTTCCAAAAGTATCCCTCTATTGGGTTCTTCCTCATTTTTCTTTTGTCTTCCAAGACTGAGTGGGCATGGATTTGATCAGAATACCTTATATACAGGTATGAAATTCTCAATAAAGTTTTTGTAAAAGTTAAAAAAAAAAAAGACTACATTAATGCTGGGTGTGGTGGTGCATTCCTTTAATCCCAGAACTCAGGAGGCAGAGGCAGGTAGATCTCTATGAGATCAAGGCCAGCCTTATTACAGGGAGACCCTGTCTCAAAAAACCATTTTTTTTAAAAATAGACTACATTATTACTATTACTGGTATGAATTAGTATGAGCATAAACAGCTTACATATGTTAATATTTTATTATTTTTATTTTATGTGTCTGAGTGTTTTGCTTGCATGTAAGTGCGCTCGTGTCATGCAATGCCCACAGAAGTCAGAAGAGACACTGGATTCCTGAAACTGAAGTTATGAACCATTGTTAGCTGCCATGTGAGTGCTGGGAATCAAACCCAGGTCCTCTGTAAGAGCAGTCTGTGCTCTTAACTGCTGAGCCATGTCTCCAGCCCAGCTTTTCTTTATTTTGTAGTTAAACAGAAAACTAACCAAGAAGCACAAATTAATAAATCTTCATTCACAACAATTTTACCGATGTACTACCTCCTTAATTTTTCCCCAAATAAATTCACAGCCCTTTTTCGCAGACTGTCTCCAAATTTGAGTGTTTCATTAGTCTAAGAAGCACTTTTTATTTTATGCTGACATTTTTTTCTTTCTTTTCTCCTATTCATTTCCACATAACTACTTTTCTAAAGTTAATACAGTTTGATATCGGGAGTAGAAGCATCTTAAACTATACAAGAACAAAATGACCTGTGTCAGAATGGGAAAAAAAAAAAAAGGAAAGAAAATCATTTTAATAGTAATAATATAAATAGGAAGTCTGAAAATACTCACTTGTAGCGGAACCAAGAAGATTTTTTGAAGATTTCTCCTCCACAGTATTATAATCCAATGGATAATCTGTTCAAAGAGGAAAATAAAAGTAATTTTGATGAGAATTAGGTCCACTAACAACATTTAAGTTTGTCTTGTCAGTAAACTGATGTTTAAAACATTTAAAAGTATTATACACCTAAACCATGTTCACAAAAAAGAAAATGGGATTCAAAAGAAATTTAACAGATGTAAAACAAAAGAAATGTATCCTTAGCAAAAGGAAAATAAATGTAATCCTTAGCAAAGTTTTAGCCACATTTATAATACTTTGAGTCAAACTTTCCATATACTTTCCTAACCCTTAGCAAATATCGTCATATTTTTTAATGGGAAAATGACAAAATTTAGATTATTCAAGTTATGGTTTAAATTATTTTAAAAATAAGGATATGATTTAACAAAATGAACAGAATATAAAACTGTCCTCTACTCTTTCAGTTCGCAGGAGTTTCTCAAATACTCAGGTCTTCATGTGCTTGCCCCTAGGCTCAAGGCAAATCAAAGCAATTAATGCTCCTTTCTATGGTTTCACTTTAACAGTTTAATAGGGTCTTGGGTCCAGCATAGAGATATAATCATAATCTATAGTACTGATGTTACAAAAGAGAGTTCCAGTTACAAATAACTGACTGGTAAATCTAGAAAACAATGTACATTACAAAGCATTTATACTAAAGATTCACTTAAGAGAATTTTGGCTCTGAGAGCTAAAAAAAAAAAAGAAAGAAATAAACTAAAGTGACAATAATTGATTTTAAGCCATCCATGACTCACCCATTACTATTAGGCTACAAAAAGAAAAGAAAAGAAAAATCCCAATAGTCACCTATTTAAAATCACTTACCATAGTCCTCATCAAATAGCTCTTGGCGTTCTGACTGATACTGAGAATCAGCAATTTCTTCATATTCTTCCACCATGCTAGTACCAAATACCCTAGTAATTTCATTACAGATATTCATTAAAACAAAAGTTACTAAGTCACATCTATCACACTACATCAATAGAAATGTCACAAACATTAACTTTGGTCACATTTTAAGAGCCACTGAACTTTTGGATCCAACATAGCAGCTACTTCTTACATTTTAGTCATCCACTGCTTCAATTAAAATACAACTCCCTTAAAGCATTTAGAAACATAATGATCAAATTTTTCTACCAATCTGTAGTGACCTCCCTTGTCCCCTAAGGACAATAGTGCTCTGCTCACTAATAATTAACAGGCTCCTGGTTCTTGGTTTAGAAAGAGTTAACAGACTTCTTGAACTTTGTTGATGTAGAGGCTTAAGGAGGAGGTAGTCTGCTCTCAGGAAACAGAGAAACAGATTAGATGGATGTCTCTGGAATGCAGGGACAGGCTGTTGCCTCTGCTTCTGCATACATCAAAGGAGGTCTGTTACTGGACCAATGGCCTTGGCCTTGGCCACACTGTGCTTGAACACTTATCATATGTAAACTCTGTGAATGTCAAATGCAGAGCTTCCAATAAAGACTCTCAGGAGGGCAGTGAAAGTACTTTTGAGCTGCTACAAGCCAAGGGTCTCCTGGACTGACTTCAGTTTTTTGGGAACAGTCACTGCAGTGGGCATCTACACCAATCTAAAGTGATTCCATTATTACCAACACAGGAAAAGAGAAAGTAAGCTAAATCAAACACATTAAAAAAATAAGGTTTAATTTTTAGAGACTAATCTTATTATTTTTCTAAAGCATTTTCAAGAGAAACAAAGGCTTAATAGTTTATATTTCTACAGTCTTAAATTCACTTTAAAAACATTAAGACTGGTGCATATCACTTGCAAAAAATAGTACATACTTTTTGTTCTGTATTACCTTATTAGGCTTAAAGGACAAAAGTGTTCTGATCCAAAATGTGATACTAACTCAACCTGAAAAATAAAAGTACACAAAATGGGAGACCAGCAGGGCACCTGTAAGGTTAACAAATACTCAGTCTTTTCATTAGAGTATTTCTAATTTTTTTGAAGTATTTATTTTTATTTTATATGTATGAGTGTTTTGCCTGCTACATATAAGTGCGTCCATGTTATGCAATGCCACTGGACACCAGATGAGGGCACTGGAATTACAGACTGTTAGCTACCATGTGGGTCCTGGGAACTGAATCCAGGTCCTCTGTCAGAGCAGCCAATGCTCTTAACCACTGAGCATCTCTCCAGCCCCCTCATTATGGCATTGTATTTTGCTTCTAAAAATAAAGTTCTCATTTCCCCAAAATAAATAGTTGTAGTTTTGCTTTGTTGTAATGCATTAATATGCCATGTTCTGCTACTCAATATTGCAAAAGAGAAGGTTGCTAACCTTTATGTACTTGATGAACATCTGAAGCAAGAGAAAGGAAAAGAAAAAGAAATCAGTCCCAGAGTCTGGATAACATGCCATAAGAAACTTAAGTATTTGCAAACTCCACGGTATGAAGGATAGAAGGCAATGTATTGTGATGTGTAACATTGTAGTACTCTTAATTCTCTGCAGAAAAGCTACATTTCAATTATTTTATAACAACTTGAAAGTATAACCTGAATACTGTAATAAATTAGCTTTATGCTTAATACAATTAAATAATCTTTAAACCCATGGCTGTCATTTTCTGTTAGATATGAAAGGATTCTAAAACCAATGAATAGTATTCAGAAACAATATGTCTTATATTAAATATTACAGTTAGGTATACATCTACAGATGAATTTATACATTGATACATGTATTATTTCATTATGAAATGTTTTCTACAGTTTAAAATACTGTATACAATTGGTTTCAGGGAACATATGAAATTTTGGTACTCTGTTATTTCATGCATTACTAACACAGGTGAAAGTTGCATCACTTACAAAATATTAGTTATTAAAAACTAATTTGTAGATTTTCATTTAAGTATTTTAGAATAGAAAAACTCAGGCAAACAGATGTGTGTGCACACACAGCATTTATTAATATAAAACGAGAATTTCAAGTGAATAGTTTTAAGACTCCTCTCTACTGAAGAGGTATTTTTTAAATAAAACTAATGATAAAAATCTTATATAGTCTCTCACTGTAAAAGAAACACTCAGGTAATTTTATAGGGCAATTTTTAAACTGAAAATATCAACTGCATGTTCAATATAGAATTTAGCACGTTCACACTGAATTTAAGAATACTACAAGTTTACCCATTTCTAAAAGTCAATTTAATACATGCTTTAAAAAGAGATAGTAACATCGCAGAAGACAAAATTAAATAGCTATAAGTTCCTACAATTTAAAGAAGAAAGGGCAGAAATTAGAAATGCTGCAATTCCAAAAAGTCATTATTAACACAGTGGTACTTTAAGATGTGGCCATTATTTTAAAGGAAAATGGGGGTAGGAAAGAAAGTTGTAGAAACTTTCATATATTATTTAAATTTAACTCAAGACTGAGAGCTAGTTGGTAGAGGAAGCAATGGGAATATTTACTGTATCTAATATTTCACTTGAATATAAAAAAAAGACAAAAGTCATAATACTACATAAATGGACAGTAGAGCTAAATTGATGATCTGGGAAAATTTTAACAGATCTACTTAAAAGATTCCAATGGCATCAGAACTTTGAGCTTCAAAATTAAAATACAATACTATGAAGATGACAATTTACATAGACTCTAAAACATGCTGGGCATGGTGGCGCATGCTTGTAATCCCAGAACTCAGGAGGTGGAGGAGGATCAGGTGCGTTTGAAGTCAGTGTGGGCTTACATAAGACTCTGTGTCAAAACCAAAACTAAAGTAAAAGCAAAGGCAACACCAAAAACAAGACTCAAAAACAAGAGTTCTAAGTTGGTATCTTATCAGAGCCAAAAATAAAAGGTTAGCCTAGATTATCAATACAAATAGGCTGTAGTAACATCTGTCTCATAAAATAATATATCCAAATAAGAACTACTTAATTAAATCATATTACACTGTAAATTTCCTCTTAATTTCCACTCCATTTCTGAGTGGGGTGACTAACGCAAATATTTTCATTATGGAACACAGTCCTATATACGTAAAGATTACCTTTACATATTTTGCATACATCTGTTCATCTAGTGGGAAACTCTGTACATTCCGCTCATCTCTACCATGAAAAGTACCCAGCTTAATCCATTTACTTGTAGGATATCTAAAAAAAAAGAATAAACAGATCTGGTACATATTTTCCTCTCATGTTAAGTATACTGATTTATTAATTTAAATACAACAGGCCCTTAAGTTAATATAATTTTTTAATTGACAAGTTCTACTTCATCAGGAAAGAATAAATTGAAAAGTCACATTCATAAACAGAAGAAAAAGACAAAAAAATGGATCAGAGCAACTCTGAGGGATTTGGGAGTGTTGTTCCCTAGAGGTTTTAAAACAGAAAGCAGGGGCTGGAGAGATGGCTCAGTGATTAAGAGCACTGTCTGCTCTGGCAGACGACCTGGGTTCCATTCCCAGCACCCACATGGCAGCTAGCAACCATCTATAACTCCAGTTCCAGGGGATCCAACACCCTCTTCTGACCTCCATGGATGCTGCACCACACAGGTTCACTTACAATACATGCAGGCAACACACTCATACATATAAAAATAAAAATAATAAAATATTTTAAAACAGAAAGTAACCAGAGACATTGGAAGAAAGAAGAAAGGACAATACTGTCAACATGCTGATCGATGATGATGTACATGATGAATGATGTATGAATACAATCACTAGAAGAAAGCGGCTTAGGAAAAAAAAAATCCAACTTTTACTATATTTAAACATTTGATATATCTCACAGAGCTGATTCCTCTAAAAAGAAATGTAATAAAAAGGCTAAACCTGTTATTGTTTGTAGCATTTAAAGAATTCAAACTAATGAGTTTCTCTTCTTATAAAAATATGAATACTTTACTTTCCAGAGCTGGGTATGCCCATCTAACACATAAAAATTCCAGCCTGAAGTAAAAGAAGTTATCTGAAAAAAGGTTAGTATCAAACTAGAACATGGAATTCTTAGGAAATTTTGGAAACTGATTTTAAAAACTGTACATATGCAATGATGATAGTGAAGGGGAAGAAGAAAGACCACTAGAAATCTCAATAATCAATAACGGAAGCACAGTGAATCCAAAACATCCTATGCAGCTTATCACTGGCAGGCTAATGTACTTAAGGAACAAAGGAATCACTCTGTTGTGGGAAAGATATTAGACACCAATTAAAAGTGGTATGTTTAAAAGGGAAAATATTCTCAGACTACAAGAAGCAGAAAGATACACATTTTAGGATAAAAGATGTAGAGGAAAGAATGGTAATCTTTGGTTGCCAGGAACAGATCATAGTTCTCTTTCAAATTCCTTATATGCTCATTTTTTCCATAATCATGGAAGTAGAAGGAAGCTTTTAAAATGCTTCATCAAAAATACACACCATGATATGAAATGAAGCACTTATACATGCATGCTTTTAATATGTTTTAAAGAAATGTGTGGATCCATTGGGGTAATGACAAAGGTGGCATATACCTCTAATCCCAGCATTCAGGAGGCATAGGAGGGGGAAATCTCTGTGAGAACGAGGCCAGCCTGGGGTACATACCAAGTTCTAGGACAGGTAGGGCTACAGGGAGACCTTGTTTCAAAATGAAATAAACAAATAAAAGGACTATGAAGTCACATAACAATTGTAGATTTGAATCTTACTTCTCCCAACCAACAGATCATGTGACTTAGGTAAATTACTTACTCCCTTTATCTGTTCCTTCAGCTTATAAGGGAATAATATATGATTGTGATGATTTAAGTTTTGCAAGAGCTAATGAAAATCAAGTGATTATCAAGAGCCTAAATATAAATGTTATCACAACCTGGTATTAAAATAAAAACAGAGTGGCACATGTTGTTTAAACTTTATTGTGAAATTCTATCATGGACTCTACAGAAACCAGTTTTAGAATTTACCTGTCACTGATAGAAACTAGAAAATCTTTAGGAGTAGAAGAAAATAATTCATAATTTGCAATATCAAACTGTTTCACTTGAATTGGCTCACAAAGTTCAATTACAAACCTACAAAAAGAAAATAAGACACATAAACCAAAGAAAATAACATTTCATATTAAACATAACTATTTTATAAAGTAGATATCCACTAAAAGTTACTAAAATGTATCAAAGAAATATTTGTAACCCGAGTATTGAGTAGAATGCCTTTGAGAACACAACAAGCATACCACTAATGGGAAGAAAAGAACTGTAATAATGATTTTTGCTCCTATCATTTTTTTTTTTTTTTGTCTTTGTGAAGCAGGGTCTCCCTGTAGCCCCAGCTGTCCTGGAACTCACTATGTAGACCAGGCTGGCCTTGAACTCACAGAGATCTGCCTGCCTCTGCCTCCCAAGTGCTGGGACTACAGGCGTGCACCACCAAGCCTGGCTGCTCCTATCATATTTTAAGACAGATTTCTTAATGACAAAGTATATTCCTGAAGAAAGAATGACTTCATTAAAAACAGTCTGTGATAGTATAAACAGATTAAAATAGTTTGATTATATATAATTGTATGATGTATGAAAGCTTTTGGCTAAGCAATACGCTCTTAAAAAATTATCTTTGGGCTGGAGAGATGGTTCAGCAGTTAAGGACACTGGCCTCTCTTGAAGAGGTCTGGGGCTGGTTAAGAGCACCAGGGCTGGTTAAGAGCACCCACATGGCCGCTAACAATTGTCCATAACTTCAGTTCCAGGGCACCCTCTTCTGGCCTCCGTTGGCATGGCATGCATGGATACAAAACATATATGAAGGCAAATAGTCACATACATAAAAATAAATTAAAAAAATTTTTTTAAAAGAGATTTACAACAGTAATCAAAAAAGGGGCTGAGGAATAATTTCACATAAAATTATACTTTTATGGAAAAAAGTTAAACACGTTAATGTTACTGAAAGGTATTAAAGACAAGAGAGACAAACTGGTAAGAAAATTTAGTATCTGAGTCATTTAATGATTCAATACAATTTCAAGCAAAATCCCCATATGGCATTCTGTCATTCACACAACTCAAGAAGTCTCAGTTTATTTAAAAAACACAAAACAAAACAAAACAAAACAAAACAAAAACAAACAAAACAAAGCAGAGGCAGAAGAAAAGTAAAAATAATCCTGAAGCACAAAAACTTGCCCTACCACAGATTAAGATTTGTAAAGCTAAACTATGGTGTTAATACAAATAATAAAAAATTGACCAATAGACAGAATATAAATTCCAAAATAAGCCTGTGCATGGAAGGGAACTTCTTGATAAAGGTATTTAAGTCAAGAAAGGGTGTGAGTTATTGAATAAAACATCATTTAAACAGGAAAATCAGGAAAGAGAAATTAATCCTCCTTACACACAATATAGAAAACAATTCCAAAGACTAAAAACCTAAATGGGAAGTACAAAATGTTTTAAGTTCTACAAGAAAAATGCAAGATAATATCTTAAAGATTTCAAGATAGATGACATTTTAAAAAATCTATTATTAGACAGATAAATTCAGCTACATTCAAAGTTTTAAAAGGTTCATCAAAAGACACTAAAAAGGGGACTGGGAGACAGTGTACTTGGTAGCTGCAGAAGCCTGAGGACCTGAGTTCAATCCCCAACATTCAAGTAATGACAATGTGACCTTCCCTTAGTAAAATCCTTTCAGTAGTTTGCTTAATTTTCAAGTCGAACCATTTTCCAAATGAGTGAAACCAGTTGTAGTTTAAATATTATCTTCAAAGTTAAAAGAGTCCCTCCTCAAATTAAATGGGTATATACACAAACATGTTTGTCCATATTATTCTAATAAATCAACATGACAGTGATTTTCTTTAACTTTTTTCTATGTTGTACGATGTGTGCTTGCCTGAGTTTATACGCAGCACATGTATGCAGAAGCCCACCTAGAAGAGGTATCACTGGAGTTACAGTAGACTGTGAGCTGCCATGTATGTTCAGGACCTGAATTCAAGTGTATTGCAAGAGCAGTAAAGTGCTCTTAACCTCTGAGCCATCTCTATTCCTAGCCTCAACTGTTTATTAAAAAAAAAAAAAAAAAAACACATTTAAAAGCCAGGCACAATAACACATGCCTCTAATCCCAGCACTTGGGAGAAGGCTGGTGGATCTCTGAGATCGAGGCCAGCCTGGTCAATATAGTCAAGTTCCAAGTCAGCTGGGGCTACAGGAAACGCTGTCTCAAAAACGAAACAAAACAAAATAAACAGTAACAACAACAAAACAACCAAATAAATAAATAAAAAGATAAAAACTATTTTATGCATGAATGTTTTGCCTGGGCAAAATGTTACCATGTGTGCGCCAGATACCTGCAGAGGGCAGAAGAGGGTGTTGGATCCCCTGGAACTAGAGGTACAGATGGCTGTGAGCCTCCAAGTGTGTGCTGGAAACTGAACCCTGGAACTCTCAAAGCAGCAAATGCTCTTAACTGCTGAGCCACCTCTGTAGCTCCCTCAACTGCAGCCTTTGAACAATTCAATCTTATAATAAGACTGTTAGCATATTATTTTCTCCCATAAATCTATTCCGATTCCTTTATCATTCACTAATCAAATACATACACATACATACACACACACACACACACACACACACACACACACACACACACACACACACAAATAAAGCAGGGAAGTCAAAATGCTAGGTAGTTCCTAGATGTCTCTCTCTTTTGTATACCTAAGTACTGCCCAAGAGATATAGATTTTACCTCATTAAATGTCTTTCAGATACATTCCTCTCTTCCTGCAAAACTTTAGCTAACAAGCTGTGATTTCTGACCTGGGCTATGACAGTAGTTATCTATCTAGTTTCTTTGCTTCAACTGTATTATGTTGTAGGCCATTCTTGGAGGACAAGCTTTCTTTAAATGCCTATTAGAGAATGTTACTTCTTAACTTCAATGTTATCAAATGTGGTCTTTAAACATGCAAGTGAGGACCAGAATTTGGATCACCAGCACCCATATAAAAGCTGGGCGGGCATTGCAGGCACCTGTAATTCTAGTACATGGGAATCCCTGAAGGAGGCTGGACAGCTAACTAGCCATATCAGCAAACTCTGGGTTAACTGAGAGATGCTGCTTCAATACACAAGGAAGAGGTTGATCAAAGAAGATACCTGATGTCAACCTGAGGCCTCCACCCACATAAGCACACATGGATGCTCACAGAAATGCAAACATGCATATACATGCATACTAAGAACACACACAAAAAAATTGTTAAACTGGGTATGCATGGCATCAGATGGTCTGATTATAACTAAACTAATGCTCTGGCTTCATTTTCTGCCATGATTCTAATTATGCCTTTTTTGGGGGGTCACACCTAAAACCTGTTTCAGATTGCTGTACATACAGTTTTCTCACAGAAAACATGCTTCTTTTAAAGCACTGTGCCTCCCTAATCTGTCAATTCCTATGAGGCCCTCAAGATTCAGCTCAGAAATTACCTCTTCTAAGAATCCCTCCTGTAGTTATATATCTTGTTCTCTAAAAACCTCTGCAGCAGTATTTTGCCTAGGCTTATCACTGAAGCTTTGTTATGTCCCTAAAAGGAAAAGAATTCTGTCTTCAGTTTTGGTATGGTATCAACAGTAATCAATCATATGTGCTTATTAAATTATATATCTAAATCTAACCTAATAAATATATACACATAGAGAATGCACTTTGCAAAATTTTATGTTACTTACCAAATTTTGGTGCTGCAAGGATTCAACATATAAAGGTCCATATTCTCTATAAGAATAGCAGAAGTGCTCTATTTTAAGGAGCAAAGAGAATATATTAAAGAAAAATAGTGAAAATACATTTCAATTCTAAAAGAGTGTAGGATTACTATATTTTTTAGATTTTAAATCAACCTAAGATGGAATATTTAATTATGGAGGAAAAAAAAAGCTAAATGGATAAAAGTTACCAGTTAAGGCTATTGCATTAAATTAGTCTTTCATCAATTAGTCCATTTAAAATTCAAAATGTCTATTATAAAGGAAAAAGAGTTTCCCATGAGTTATTTTAAAAAACACACACAAGGGGCTAGAGAGAAGATTCTGCTGTTAAGAGCACTGGCTGCTCTTACAGAGGACCCAGGTTCAGTTCCAAATGGATAAAAGTTACCAGTTAAGGCTATTGCATTAAATTAGTCTTTCATCAATTAGTCCATTTAAAATTCAAAATGTCTATTATAAAGGAAAAAGAGTTTCCCATGAGTTATTTTAAAAAACACACACAAGGGGCTAGAGAGAAGATTCTGCTGTTAAGAGCACTGGCTGCTCTTACAGAGGACCCAGGTTCAGTTCCCAGCACCTACCATGGCAACTAAAAACCATCCCTAACTCCAGATCTAGGGGATACCACCCTCTTCTGGCCTCCACAGGTAGTGCATGATATAGGTACACTTACATACATATAGGCAAAACATTCATAAAGATAAAATAGTAAATTTTTAAAAACTGCATACAGTTCTAAATGTTAAAGATGCTGCTGCAATGGACCAACTAATATAACCAAGAACTGACATAATAAAAGATCTTTAAAGGCATAACCTTGTATTTATTAGTGACACAGAAAAATAACTCACTTTAAAATATAGTTACCATTATACAATGTCTGTATTTAATAAAGTCACTAGTTTCTTATATTTACTTTTTTATTTTAAACAAGTTATCCTTTAAGTACCTTGGCTTCTGGATTAGCTGCCAAAATTTTGGCACCACATTCTACTGAGGCATAATTATTTCGATTTTTCTGGACCTTTTTGGTGGCATGTGGACCTCCATTAGATGAGGGATGCAATGACTGACCTGTGGACAAACCTTGTTATAAACATATATATGATGATTATGATTGAAAATACCCCCTGCCAACACAATGATCTCAAAAGTAATAGGCTGTTATCTAGAGAGGAACAGCTATTAACACCTAAGAATACAGCTTAAAACTAGATGAGCGATCAGGCATAGTGGAGCACACCTTTACCAGGTGGATCTCTGAGTTCAGGCCAGTCAAGGCTACAGAGAGAGAGAGTGGGGGGGGCAGGGAAGGAGGGGAGGAGGAGGGAGGGAAGGAAAAAGAGGAGGGAGGGGAGAGAGAGAGAGAGAGAGAGAGAGAGAGAGAGAGAGAGAGAGAGAGAGAGAGAGAAACACTTGAGAAATTCAAGCCCAACACTGTGGTGCAGGTCTGTAATCTCAGCATTTAGGATGTTGTGCAAGGACTGCCATGAATTTGAAGCCAGACAGCCTACATTATACAGTTAGATCAAGGCCAACCAAGACTACATAAACCCCATCTTAAAATAAACAAATAGTAGTTCAAAATGCTTCACCCCAACTACTTTAAAATAGCTCATATAAAGACCAAAAATCCACATTACTTGAAGTTTTTCTAAAATTATAACATAAAATGAAGATTGTTCGGGAGAATAAAAGGTTATTGTGTATATGGTTTATGTTAAAAATGAATTATTTTTCTATATCTAACTCGAATATCAAGAATTCTTAACTCATTGTTACTGCACTAAAATCTTAAAGTTTTCTGACTCAGGACTTTCCATTTCCAAGCTTCTTTCTATACACTGAGATGAAAATCATTACTCTCCCTTCTTATTTTAGCATAAGTAGATAATCTCTAAGAATGGATTTTAATCAAAATTAAAACTGTATATTAAATGACACAGCTCATCAGCAGCAATGTGGTAAATTTCTTTGCTAAGTTTTTAGAAATTTCAATTTAGCATTTAAGGAGAAAATAATAAACCACCCAAAGCCCCCTTAAATAATAATTTTAAAAATTTCGGCTTCCTTACTTTTTTCTTTTTCTACTTCCATGACCTTCTTCTTCCACTCATCAAATGTTGGTATATCTTCTGGATCTTTGGAGTTTACTACAGATGCAGGGTCAGTTTCTCCTGGTTTGGTATAATCAGAGCTCTGAAAGAAATGTCAAAGAAAAACAGGGACTTCAACCTTCATGTAAGATTAATTAATAGTGAAGGTAAGTACAAATGTTTCTGTAAAGTTAGTAAGTTTAATTTAATGATGAATACTATTTTAAATTTTTTGATTTGTTTAAAAGTTCAAGTTCATTTAAAATAACTGAAAGTATAAGCATTATAAAATATGCTTTCACATGTTAGTGATATAAACACAAGTTACTTAAAAACACAGAATCTGTTATATCCTAAGCAAATTCTATGCATATATATGTAGATTATTCTTGTAGTACAATCACTTTTAAAAATCTAAGTTAAAAATAGCAATTAAAGGAAACTAACTTTAGATATAGTATATTGTTTTAAGAAAATCAGTAACAATTTATCATATACACAAAAATTTTAAGTAGATTTTTAAAAAATTTTCATTATAAAAAGGTTTGATATTTTAAAATGCAGAAAACCATGTTAGTAACTCCTGTTAGCAAAATCATTTAACAAGAAATAGATGCATAAAATCCATCTTTTGAAACCTGGTCCACTAGATACATGAAAATTTTAAAATAAGAAAAGTTATATGAAACAAGCCACAATGGTAACATATTTCCAACACATTCCACCACCAAGAGTGCCTCTAAAGAATGCTTAAAAATCAGTAAGTAACAGGGGGAATGAAAAAATAATTCAGCAAACAGGAAATGCAATCAGTAATAATCATGGAATTCAAGGAAACCCAGAGACATAAATCTTATCAATGGGATGAAAGTAAAGTGTAACAGTCTGTGAAAAGTGTGGCATAACTGATAAAACAAGGGAAATATATCAAATTGCTGAAGAAACAAATATTCAAGAATTTGGGGGCTGGAGATGACCCAGAGGGTAAGAGCACTGGCTGCTCTTAGGAGGAGCCAGGCTGGATTCCCAGGACCAACATGGCAGCTAATGACCACCTTAACTCCAGCTCCAGGGGAATCTTGACGACCTCTTCTGACCGCTGAGGGCACCAAACCACATGGGTGCACTTACAAGCAAGCAAGCAACACGCTCATACACATAGAATAAAAAATAAAATAAAATATTTTGAAATATCCATTAATTCACCAGGCATGGTGGCACACACCTTTAATGCCAGCATTCAGGTAGGGGAAGGCAGATTTCTGTGAGATGGAAGCCAGCCTGGGGCTACAGGGTGACCCAGTCTCAGAAAGAACAAAACAACACAAACAACAAAATATCCATTAATTGAAGAATGGATAAATTATAACTAAGCAACAACAAGTAACAAATCCCAAAATCAATACTTCATAAAAAATTTAAAGACAAGAATTGTCATTTCATACTATTTCAAAATAAGTGAAATGAAGTAATAAAATGAAATTGTCAGAAATCTACCCAATACATGATAGTACTATGTCTGATGAGAAAAGGACTATAACTGAGAAAGGGCACACAATCTGAGGATTCTTCCCAAAGACAGAGTAACTTCTGCTCTTGCAGGACCTAGGTTTCATTCCCAGCACCCACAAGGCAGCTAACAATCATCTGTAACTCCAGTTCCAGGAGATCAGATGCCCTTTTCTGACCTCTGTGGGCATTGTACGACATGACATGGGTGCACTTACATACATGGAAGCAATACACTCACACACACTCACAGACACACACACACACACACACACACACTCACAAAAAATAATTAGTATTTTTTTAAAAGTCTGCTTAAAGAACCAACTCTGGTAAATAACCTGTGTCCTTCAGTATATATTTGCTATACTATACAAGGTCATGTTTTGAACATTAATTCTTACAAATCTCAATCACTGTTTTATCTCCTTCTCTCCCTGTGCTTCTCTTTTTTAAAAGGCAGAAGAACCATTCCCAAAACTCCCTTTTAGAAAACTGGCAGGTCAGTTTCAACTTCCATCTTCAAATGTTTTCCAAAGCACTATAATTTATGAAGTAAGTCTGTGGCTATAAAAAGAAAAATTTCAAGAATGGTGGCACATGCATATAATCTCAGCACTCCCAGCAACACTGAGGCGGCTGAGGTATGGAGGCATGAAGATATTTAGTTCAAGGTCAGCCTCTGCTACATAGCTAGACCACAGCCCCTCCTTCTCCTAAAAGAGAAAAAGGCAGAAAATAAATACTGAAGATTTGTATAAGTGCTGATTTAATTTTCTAAATTAAAAAATTACAGAATTTTTATAAAAATTATAATTATAAAAATTCACATGGCTAAACAAAACATGAAGCCCAAACAAACATACCACTACCACCAGCAGCAACCCACAAAGAACATCACACACATAGTCTTTGGAGTTCCAGGTAACAAATCTCTTCTCAACAAGAGAACTAAACAATACAATAAAAATACACACACACACACACACACACACACACACACACACACACGGTCTCCTTGTAGTCCCAGCCCTGCAACTGGCTATGTAGACTAGGCTGGCCTCAATCTCTGGGATTTAAGGTGTGCACCATCAGGTCCAACAATAAAACCAACTGCTAATGTACTATCTACAAATAAAATTACTTTATAAAGCAGTGTGTTTAAGTGTGGCCACGTCCTGTAAATCTTTTTTAAAAGATACTATATAGACCTATCTGCATCTGAAAGTCAACTAGCTCATATAAACTTAACTGGGCAGAATTATTTTGAATTCAATATTCATAAGGTGTTCATTATCAATAATTTTTCTGGGATACTCATTTGTTCAGGAGGTAATGAATATATCTAATTAAAATTCCATTCTTTTGCTTATTGGAACAAGCATATAATCTGAGTCTCCTGGGTACTGAAGAGCAGCCTCAGTCCGCAAATAGTTAAGGAGAACAAGCAAATCCAGGAAAAAACTAGTTGAAACTGGTTGCCAAGCTTCAATTTTACATTTGCTACTTAAACAGCTCCTAAGCAGACATGTTTTCAAGTTTATCTAGTTTTATTTAGGAAAACTAAAATTAGTTCTTTCAAGATGTTGGACTACAGAACACTGAACACCTGTATTTCTAAGAAGCATCACAGACATAATATACTGAATAGTATAAACCTCTAGAATGAAGGCTAGTTTTCACTGAAAACTCACTGAAACTTTTTGAAAGAAACAAAGTGGAGAACAGAATACTCCAAACTAAAAAGAATAAATATGGATGCTGTGCTGAGCAATTCAAATTACTCTTTGATTCAATTTATTTGCTTTTAAGTTGATGAAAAGGTCTTCATCTCTTTGACTTAGTTATTCCTTACCTGATAGGAACCTAAACTGCTGGGTTAACAAAATTCCTTGACAACATTTTTATTGGTCTCGTTTGACACTAAGTCAACGTATACTTCAAAATAAGTAAAGAAAACTGTTTCATTATGCTAAACTCAGTCTTTATTCTAAGAATAACATTTTGAGGTACAAGTTCATCTAGTTGTACTTCACATATAAATAACAAAAACTAAAACGTATCTACAAAATAATCCCAGTTGAGAACCACATATTTGTCTTTATATTACTGAATTACATGACATTCTGAAGGTTCTTCAATTTAATATTCATGATATCTATATAGCTGTAAAAAACTGCTTAAGTAAGAATATTAGGTATGTGGCCTCAAATATGGTGGCAGAAAACCTGGTGGTTATATGTAATCAAGAGAATTCATACATGAAACTTTATATATAAATACTAGAAAGAATATCAACAAGTAATCACTTGCTACCTGGAAGCAGAGATCATATCAGTTCTACAATTAATCCCTAATTTTATGATAAATATGGTTAGTAATTTATTCAAGATTCCAACACTAAAAATGTATTACATAATAGAGTAGGAGTGCCAGTTATATACTAACCTCATTTTTTAAATTATCTGACACATTCAATGAAGATTTTGGATCATCACCATCTTGTTCACGCACTGAAACTTTTGACTCAAATTCCGACCTTGTTATTTTCTCTTTGCCATGTGAAGATGACACATTTTCTATATGCTGGCCAACAAGGCTTAAAATTTAAAAAAAAATGTATTAAATTTTAGTTGGGTAACAAGTTTTATGCCAACTGTTATGATTATCATATACAAAGAAAACCAAGACAGGAGCACAAAGATAAAATTTCAATCAGAAAATAGAATGAAGCATGCACCAAATCTTTCCCTGTAGAATGACACTGTAGTTATTACAGAATCACACCACAAACCAGATGTGGTGGTATATGCCTGTAATCCCAGCATTTGGGAGGGTGAAGAAAGTGGATCATGAGTTTGAGGCTAGCCTGGGTTATACTTCAAGTTCCAGGTTAGCCTGGGTAGTCTATATAGCGAGATACTGTCAAAATAAAAATAAAAACAACAAATAATAAAACAACAGCAGTAACCACCAAAAAAAAAAAAAAAATACACTAAAAACAATTGCTCATACTCACGTTTCAGGTGGACTGACAAAAGAAGGCTGTTCAACTGGGACACCTACACCTGGAGTCTCTCCAACATCACAGTCAGCTTCAGACTGCTCAGTTTCACTTGGCTTGGCTATAGATACTATACCAGATTTTTCTATTTCACTAAAAAAAGAAAAAGACAACCTGATGATTTAACAGCCAATATAAGTTAAAAGTGTTATTAATGATTTATCAAACAGCCTAAGCCAAAGAAAGAAATATGCTTTACAGTTCTACAGAATGTTTTTAATAATTCACTTATTTTAAGAAAGGCATGGTGGCACATGCCTGTAATCTGAGCACCTGGGAGGTTGAAGCAGGAAGGATAGAGAATTCAAAGCCAGCCTGGGCTACTTATTTTAAGTCATGTACAATCAACTGTTGACTGATCTGTTAGTGTCCCTAAACACTGCTAAATTTTAGAACAAAATATTTGCTCTTATAAAAATAAAATTTTAAGTTATTTATTCTAAATGTATCTTCTCTAACTTTATGTTTGTATATTAAATCTACTAATACAGTTGCATACACCATCAAAATTCGTCTATTATCTTAAGACTTTTCACTGAAGTTCTAAGGAATTCTCCAATATTTTTCTCTGCCTCATTAAACAATCATTTTTAATTTAATGGGAAAGCAGAAACATGCTGTTTAGATGTATAGTATCTAGTCAAATCATTTCTGAAATAGTATCTAGTCTTACATTTTTCTCAATATGTAGTCTATTCTCTTTTCCTTTACTGAGAAACATTCCTAAATGACAAATGTAACATCCACATCTTTACCAGCTTAGTCCCTTACATTCTTGAGGAAGGCAAGTATCTAAAAATGTGACTGTGCTAAAAGAAAAAAACAGCAACAATAATTTTAACCAACATATTCATTCTTACTCAGCTAAATATTCTTTTCATACTTAATATCAACCCATGTAATAAAGAACAGCTTAGTACAGTATTAAGAGAGAACATGTTTCGCTTTGCTATCTAGATTACTGCTGGAAGATAACTACACAGGTTATTCAAAAAAGCACCATGTTTCTTAAATAGAACCTTACACCCTCTGTGCTATGCAATGATTCATGGCCACGACCTAACCAACTTTACTGAGTTACTCAGCTAAACAGATAAACTTACTGTAAGATTACATTGAAAATACACAAATTAAAAAACAGATATAAATTATGCTACTTGGCCCAAACATCAAACGTAACAAACTGTCTTACTAAGACATATTTCTATCATTAACTAGCAAGGTTTTGCTGTTGTTTTTGCTTCTCCCACTCCCCTTATAATGACTTACTTAAGCTCTGAGATTGGAGTTGTTTCTGAGGTAGATGAACTGGAAATATTTTCAACGTTTTCACTGCCCACAACTACAGAGGAAGAATCTCCATGTAAATCAACAGCAGGGAGTGCTTCAACCACAGGTGGACTTAACTTTTTTGATTCCATATTCTGTTTTTAAAAATAGTTACATTAAATGTTAAAATCAATTAATCACTTCCTTTAATGGGCAAATTTCTAGAAAGCTGAAAAATGAGTATAGATACAGTGTTTACAGTCTAAGTTCAATGATAAAGCACTTGTTTAATATGCATGAGACCCTGGGTTCCTGGGTTTAATTCTTGAGCATGAAATAAAGAGAATCATTTAAAAATAAATTAAAGAAATCCTCCTTTCTTCCAACACTATTTCCCTAAGGAATATATTTTGTATTAAAATACAGGGTCTACATATTTTTTATGGCATTTCATACATTAGCAGAAACAGTTTGCTCCCTTTCTCCTTTCTTTATTCCTATTTTGAATCAGGTCTTACAAGTACTTCTATTTGTATACAATGATACTAGTATAAGCTAAAATATTCTATGAACTCATACTGAGGGACATCTGGGCACACAAACTTGATGCAAAAGACCTTAACATACATGACAGAACACATGAAATCTGTGGGAGGGCTATAGGGGGGGTGATGATGGGGAGGAGGGCTTAAATATGATTAAGATGTAGTGCACGAAATGCACAAAAATTCAATAAAAATATATATTGAAAAAAAAATCCCATGTAAATATACAAAACTATACAACAGAGTTTTTATCCCTAAAGTGTATGGAAAAAATATGTATCAAAAAAGAACAATATAAAGATACGTACAAGTACTACAACAAAGCTATAAAAATTCTTGCTTCTCTTTCAGTCCTGAGCTTTATAGATCACTCACCCTCACAAAGAGAAATTTACCTAACCTCTACTCGTAGCTGAAAGTCTTTATTAGTGGCTCTTTCCTCTAAATCAACCTCAATTAGCCAATTCTCTGCCTCCACTATTCCCTTGTACAGGATTTACCACAACATCCATAATAGCAAATGCTGTTTTTTTTTTGTCTCCCTCTTGTTTTCAATTATATTATAAATAGATTAAATAATGACGACATTCTCGTGATTTTAATATTCCCAGTGTCTAGCACACAACGCATCTGAAAGTTTAACAAATGAATAACAAGTGAAAGGAATTCACACTAAATTCAAGGAAATGAAAAAAGCCACAGACTATTAAAGACTAAAAGAGGTGGCCTTGAAAAAAGGTAGGAGAGTAAGAGAACAAAAAGAAGGCACAAGACCGAGCCGACTAAATGCAAAGTATGCTCATTTGGAGAATTATTAACTGTGAAAAATTTACGAAAGAATAAATGAGTTATTTATTATGGTGGAAGATCTTGAGGAAAGGACATCACCAAATACTTTAGTATTATTTCAACATGTATTAAAAGTAAAAAACGGTGGTTATTATATATAATAAGCAGTAAATTGCCAAATGGATGGGCCACATTTCAAATGCTCAACAGCCAATGATTCAATGGCTACTATGCTACACAGGTATATAAGATTCTGTAAAATTTCAAAGAATTTGAGAAAGATTATGCTACGATAAAAATTCTAGAAAATAATGACAAGACACTTCAAGATATGTAATCAGAAGAGCTAAATAGCATTAAAAAAAACTTTAAAAAATTTTTATATCTATTTTTATGTGTATGTGTACATTGCCTACATGTAGGTAAGTGCACCCGTGTTGTACAATGCCTGCAGAGGTGAGAAGAGGCTGTTGGAATCCCTAGGACTGGAGTTACGGACAGTTGTTATCTGCCATGTGGGTGCTGAGATTCAAACCCGGGTCTTCTGCAAGAACAACTAGTGTTCTTAACCGCTGAACCATCTCTAAGCCCCACATTTTTTATTCTATACATAAGTTTTAGTATGATATTCTCCAAAATCCAATAAAATACACACACATCTCCTTAAATAATAAAAAAATTCTCCCTCATTCTGAGATGAATGTTTAATTTTATTATTTGAGATATTCTATTTTTTCTTAAGTCCTTTGATCAAATATCTCTAGTTCCTTTAGCCAATGCTGGTATTAAATGATTTCCAGACACCTCAGCACTCTGATAGGTTAACAGTATATTTATTCAAGGTTTTAGTATTTTCCATAAAGTCTGGTGCATAAAATGGAAAACAATATACTTGGAATGCCAAAAATGGGAAAAACATCTTAATCTATTTCATTAACTCAAATTCCACAAAATTAAAACACTGGTACCAAAAATACTGTATTCTACTTTCTGTTGTAAACAAATAAGGTCAGAAAAATAAATCTGTTTTCTAAAAAAATCAGAAAAGATACATTAAAATGAGCCAAAGAGGAATCTAGGAAGAAATGAGGACTTACATCAAATTTTACTACTAAAATAGTCACATTTATTATTAAAACTGTAACTTAGCATTTTTTGAAAAGTAGTACTACTATTAACAGATAAACAAGTTTATGTCTGTTACATGGTACTCCAGAGCATAGAAAATTTAACAACGTAATATGGTAAACAAAGGCATTTAATCCTGTGCAATAATTTACGAAAGTATATTAAAAGCAAAAGCAGTACAGCGTGCTTACTTTTGTATCCACAATGTCGTCATCTTTTAATTTATTTTCTTCTGGGTGAATAGGTAAATATGAATTCAATTTTCCTGGTAATTCAACATTAGTAGGGTCCTCTCTTTCATCCTCCAGTGTGACAAAGAAAAGACAGATAAACTTTATTTACCTGTTTACTTTGTGTTTCTCTGTATTACTCCCCTTGGCACTACACTTCACATGTAAATTTCACAGGCTGAAGAACCTCATTTGATTGCTTAGTCACCATTTTAGTCTGACATCCAGCACTATGTGTCAGATTCAAAGTGAAACTTCCATAAACATATGATGACTATACACAAACATTTTTGTTTCATCTCTTTTGACACATTGAAGTTGAAAGTTTTCATATCTTTATATTCTTAAATGTGTTTTCTAGGATACAAATTTCATAAAAATGAAGTTCATATTCATCTTTATTTACCTGAGCCTATCTAATAGAACATACAAGGTGTCTAAATGTTTACTGGAAGAATGCTTTCCCCACTTAATGCTTTGTTCACATTCATTTTTGTAACATATGGTATTCAATCATCAAAGAAGTTAGATTTTATCCTACTGACTGTAGATGAAAGCAAAATCTGAGGTGTGTGTGTGTGTGTGTGTTTTAAAGAAAAGAACATTTTGCCAAGTTTTCAAATGTTCACATCTTCCAGCGCAGAAAAATATTCTATAAAACTCAAAAAATAAAAAAAAATTCAGCCCAAATATCATGTCTCAAACCTCCAAATATGTAAATGTAAATATATGTGTTGATACATACATGTACAGTGTGCATATGCAGGTACCCATATATACAGTTGAAAAACAGTGCAAAAGTTCATTAGTAGGGAAAAAATAAATTACGATATATCTATATGATAAATGAAAATGCAACCATTCTGCAAAACTATCAACATGGAAAGCTGATGCAGATATACCCTTAGTGGAGGAACAAAGTCAATTTGTAGAACAATTTTCATTTTAATGGATATTAAAATATTAATGTGTTCTTAAATAAAAAATATCTATATCCACAGAAAAACATCTGAAATTTTCATAAGAAACAGTAAACTATGGTTTCTTCATGGATGAGAAAAAAATAAAATTGTTTTCTAATCAGCCTAAGTTACTTCTGTAATTTAAAATATATAAAGTTTGTGCTTAAGAGATGGCTCAGTGGCTAAGAGCACTGACTGCTCTTACAGAGGACTCAGGTTCAATTTCCAGCACCCACACTGCACCTAACAACTGCTTGTAACTTCAGTTCCAGGGTGATGCCCTCTTCTGACCTCTGCGGGCATTGCGCAACACAGGTACACTTACACACACGCAGGCAATACACTTACACACATCAAATAAAAAGAACAACATATTTTTAAAAATAAGAAAATAAAATATGTAAAATTGGAGGCAAAAGACAAATATAGTCAATACTCACTTTTATCCTTTGAAAAAATGTAATTATAATTTCAAAACTATCAGTTTTTTTGATGTCTAGTCATGTACCTAATTAACACATAAGAAACTACAAAGGCTCCAACTGCAAATTCTCCACACAATACTTATTTCTAATAGCTTTTGATTTCTAAGAGTAGATTTCACTATAGCAAAGAGAACAATTCTTATTCAATATGCATCATTCTTTTTTTAATACTTTATTTATTATTTTTATTTTATGTGTTATGTGTATGTGTATATTGCCTGCATTTAGGTAAGTGCACCCGTGTCACGCAATGCCCACAGAGGTCAGAAGAGGCTGTTGGATCCCCTGGGATTGGAGTTACAGACAGTTGTTAGCTGCCATGTGGGTTCTGGGATTCAAACCCAGATCTTCTGCAAGAACATCCAGTGTTCTTAACCACTGAGTTATCTCTCCAGCATCATTCTTATTTCCTACTGTAGAACAAGGTGTGGAATTCTGATTCCAAATACAAGCAACAAAAATAAACATAAAAATAATTGAGCTTTCTTAATGTCAAGATTATATAACTCCCTGTATTAGAGCAAAGAAAGATAGAAATCTTTACCAAATTTTTAGCCTAGTATTTTTTAAGTTATTTTCATTCTAAACATCTTTAGAGTCTTAGAAACCAAACATAGATTAAAATGGCAACTGCACTTAAGGTACCTTTCTTTGGAACTCTGTATCTTCATTTTCTAATGCACAGTTGTCATCTTGAGAGTAATACGATGTAGAAGCTGAAGAACTCTCTTTGCAACATACGTGCCAACTGGGAAGCCTGCAAAGGCCCGGCAGCAGCAGCAACAAACAAATGGGGTTCCAGAAAAAGGGAGAGAAAAAGGAAATTGTCAAGTAAACACAGTCCTTCCAAGAGTCTCAATATAAGACAATAAAAGACAAGTTCCTATCTAATATGTTAAAGAATGACTTGAAAGCATCAATGTCCTAGGGGGAAAAAACCATAATATTAATATTAATTGAAGACATAAATTTCTATTAAACTATAATAGGAAAGATAATTATCACAGAAAGAACATAAAGGTTGTCAGAGTCAACCTCCTGAGGAGTCCAGATACCAAAGACATTTATACATATTTAAAGATTAATTCTAAAAATTGCCTACACCATGTCAAAGAATAGAAGCAAAGCTTCCAGGCTATTTTTACATCAAGAACACAGATAGCCAAAATTAACAGAAACTATAAACACAAATACTGCAAGTTAATGTATTAAGGAATAGAATACAAATAAAAATTTACCCATAGAGCTGGGCGTGGTGGCACACGCCTTTAATCCCAGCACTTGGGAGGCAGAGGCAGGTGGATCTTTGTGAGTTCGAGGCCAGCGTGGTATACATAGTGAGTTCCAGGACAGCTGGGGCTACAAGGAGACCCTGTCTCAAAAAGACCAAAAAAAAAAAAAATTACCCATAAAAAAATACCCACAAAAAATTCTCTACAAACATAAGAATATACCACTTTATGATTATCTAAGCTGATATTAAAATTCATTTAATATGTATTTTGTTTATGATGCCTATCAAGAAAAAAATCTTATGATTATCTCCATTTCCACGCAAAGACATCACATAAACTTATATATCCATGAAGATTCTTCAAATCAATAAAACATATATATATATGTGTGTATATAAACTGTGGCTAACATACACATGATACATCATCCTAAAAGCCAGTATATTTTAAAAGCCTAAAAATACTCCATGTAGCTGTGAAACAAAACCAGCATGGGGGGGGGGGGGGGTGGAGTGATGGCAAAGTGGTTCTTGAAGAGACCCAGGTTCGAATCTGAGCACCCACATGGCAGCTAACAAATGTCTATAACTTCAGTTCCAGGGGATCCAAGACCCTCTTCTGACCTCCACAGGCACAGCACTACACGGGTGCACTTACACATAAGCAGGCATAACATTCATACACATAAAATAAAAATAATAAATAAAATATAAAAATAAATAAACTTTTTAAAAAAGTAGTCTTCCATCACTAATACTGCATACTAAAAGGATTGATAAGAGGTATAAAGATGGAAAAGCAGCCAGTAAAACTGAGTCACAAATAATCAGTTTATCTTTATTAGCTGCATATGAGTTCACAAAAGTGGAAAATTCAAAAGTACCAACTATTACAAGTTAGATGTAAAAGTGACATCCCTAGTTACAAAATGTTATAGCTCTAAGGGCCTACATTAAAAAATTAGAAAGAGCCCAAATAAATGACCTAATACTGCAACTCTAGATGCTAGAATGTCAAGAACAAATGAAACCCAAACCTAGTAAAAGAGAAGAAATAACAAAAATCAGAGCAGAAATTAATGAAATAGTAACAAAGAAAACAATACAAAGAAACAATGAATCTAAGAGCTGGTTCTTTGAAAAGATAAACAAGATTGACAGACCACTAGCCCAGATAACCAAAGGAAAGAAAGAGCACCTCCAAATCAACAAAATCAGAGATGAAAGGGGAAACATCACATCAGACACCCAAAAGATCCAGACCATTATAAGGGAATATTTAAAAAACCTGTATGCTACCAAATCTGAAAATCTAAAAGAAATGGCTGTATATCTGAAATCATGGGAACCACCAAAGTTAAACCCAGAAGAGATCAATAATTTAAACAGACCCATAACATATAAGGAAATTGAAACAGTAATACAAAGCCTTCCAACTAAAAAAAGCCCAGGCCCAGATGGATTTACAGCAGAATTCTACCAGACACAGGCAATACACTCATACACATAAAATAAAAATAATAATAAAATATTTAAAAAGAAAAGCTAAACAGGAGGCCCCTAGCTCAGTTAATCAAAAGAAATAGCAAACCCAAATCAACAAAACTCAGAGATGAAAGGTGAAACCTTATAACAGACACCCAAAAGATCCAGACCATATACGCTACTAAATCTGAAAATCTGAAAGAAATGGAAGTATATCTAAAATCATGGGCACCTCCAAAGTTAAACCAAGAAGAGATCAATAGTTTAAACAGACCCATAACATAAAGAAATCGAAACAGTAATACAAGCCTCCCAACTAAAAAAAGCCCAGGCCCAGATGGATTTACAGCAGAATTCTACCAGACATTTAAAGAAGATCTCCAACCAATACTACTTAAATTATTCAAAACAGGGGGCTGGAGAGATGGCTCAGCAGATAAGAACATTGAATGTTCTTGCAGAAGACCCAGGTTCAAATCCCAGCACCCACACGTCAGCTAACAATGGTTCGTAACTCCAGTTCCGGGGGATCTAATGCCCTCTTCTGACCTCTGCAGGCAATACACAACACGGGTGCACTTACACACATGCAGACAATATACACATACACATAAAATAAAAATAATAAATAAAATATTTTTAAAACAATTATTCAAAATGATAGAAACAGAGGGAGAACTCCCAAATTCCTTCTATGAAGCCAGCATCACTCTAATACCCAAACCAGGTAAAGATATAATCAAAATAGAAAACTACTACAGGCCCACATCCTTAATGAACATAAGATTCAAAAATTCTCAACAAAATACTTTCAAACCGCATACAGACACACATCAAAAAGATCATTCACCATGATCAAGTAGGCTTTATTCCAGAGATGCAGGGATGGTTCAATATACGCAAGTCAATAAACATCATTAATCATAAAAATGTACTCAAAGACAAAAACCACATTGTCATCTCAATAGATGCAGAAAAGGCTTTTGAACAAAATTCAGCATGCATTTATTTTCAAAGTCCTAGAGGGAACTGGACTGCAGGGAACAGACCTCAACATAATTAAGGTCATATACAACAAACCCACAGCCAACATCATTCTAAATGGAGAAAAACTGGAAGCATTCCCATTAAAACCAGGAACCAGACAAGGATGTCCACCATCTCCACTCCTTTTCAATACAGTACTTGAAACTCTTGCTAGAGCAATAAGACAGGAGAAGGAAATTAAAGGAAATTAATAGGTCAAACTATCACTTTTTGCAGATGATATGACACTTTATAATACTCTACCTAAGAGATCCCAAAAGTTCCACCAGAAAACTCCAAGAACTCATCAACACTTTCAGTATAGTGGCAGGTTATAAAATCAATCTACAAAAGTCAGTAGCCTTTCAATATACCAATAACAAACAATTAGAGAAAGAATACAGGGAAATGCTCCCATTCACAATTGCTGCCAAAAAATAAAATATCTTTGAATAAATCTGACCAAAGACACCAAAGATCTCTACAATGAAAATTTTA